CGTATGATGTTACGTCCATTAATTAAGCGATTCAAGGAATCCGACAGGTAAGGTTCGCGCGGTGTGGAGGCGGGGACCGGTTCTTTTGCAAATTCTTTCTACTGTCTGTCCGTATCTTCTATCCCCCACCTGACAAGCTTCGAGGATCCCACTCGTCTCCCGTCTGTCTCGTCAGCAACACCCTGCTCCTGCCTCGAATTCTACGATCTGTCTCTCATACGTCATTGTCGGGTGTTAATTGTACCTCGTCTCTCGAATGCGTTTTCCGACCCCCTCACCGATGACGAAGCCACGCTCTCCCCTGTCCCCCACGTTCGCTCTCTGCGACATGGGCGATATTACCAGGATGAATCTTTATTTAACCCTCCACCTCCACGCCGCTTGTTTTCTCCTGTTTTTTGATCAGAAACATTATTTTTCTAACGCATGCTTCTATGACGTAGCGTCACTCTGTAAGGTTTATGATACATTGTACCAGCTCTACAAAATGGGATATATATATATATACACATATATATACATACACATATACACACATGTTATATATATATACATATATATTTCGTAGATATAAGTATGAGAAAATATGTAGCGCGAGATAATTATTTAGGTGATAATTATGTACGAACGAACGACGATGATAACCCTTTCGAGATCGCGGGGGGAGCAGAGGGGGGTATATTTTCTTGGACGCCGCGTAATTTCCGTTTCGCGAGACAACGAAATGGAGGACGCTGAGAAATTCTTCTCGGATTCTTCGGGGATGAAGATGTTACTCACGGTCCCTAGCCGATCAGTTGACCGGGCCAGTTGACATCTGTGACAGGCCCATCTCCGTTGCGCGTGTACGCGTGGAAGCTTCTCGAAGGGGTTGATCCTCGTTACTCAAAGAAGCACAAATGTCGGTACCAAACGTGCATTATGAAATACGTAAGTTTAATTCTCGACGTACCTCTGAACACGCGTACTATTCCTCTCGTCGAAGTAGAACGACGCAAGGTAGTATAATCTTGTGCATTAGGTACGACCCTAAACACTGACCTCCGGCGCGGACTACACGCACACGTACACGCATGCACGCGTAATAAATATATCAGGATTCTCTATTTTAATCACGGTTTTTTCACAGTACAATTACGAACGCCTTCGGTGCGCCACGTTGAATGCTGTCAAAGACACAGAGTGACATTCGATCGACGTTTGTTAATTAACCGAATCTTAACGCGTCGCGTTGCTCAAACCTCTACACCCACACACACACGCATACGCGCACGCTCGTGGTAATTAAGAATTTGTACGAAAATTTTTAACCCTTTCTACGCGAACGAGATCGGCGAGTGCTTTTTTACACACGGAACACGGGAATACTCGTCGGGGCTTATTTCGAACGGGACTTTTTCACGGGAATTTCTCGATTCAACGTGGTTGCAATTGTACCTCAACAATGGTCGTGCCTAAAACAAAACGAAACAAACGGAACGGGAAACGGAGAGAAACGGGGGAAAATGGAAGAGAAATGAAAATGGGGGAATAAAAGGAGGGAAAGACGATTACCAGCCGGGATATAATAATCGAATGAAACCTGGAACCTAGCGCGAAACGAGAATAATTTAGCGGACGAAGCTCAGTCGGAATTGAATCTCCCCAAGTTCCTTGACCTTTCAAACACTATTTTTTATGCGAAATATCGAATACGCCACTCGTGGGTGTATCGCGAAGCTAACGTCGGGGTTGTTCAAGTGCCAAGCTTTTCGAAAGTGTCTTTCCACGAGAACCTGAGATACGATTTAATCCTACCGGGTATAGCACAAACGTTGAAATTTGATCATTTTCACGTTCACGGCAAATTCTTCTACGCCGCGTTAAGCAACGCGCGTATCTTCCAAAGAGTATCCGTTGTTCGGTAAACCATCGACTTCCGACAGATCTTCCTTCGCCTTCCTCCCGGCAGAAAATACAGTCTTTCCGATATATTCGCACAAAGAAACCGCGGGCTGATCAAATTTCGTTTGCGATATACCCCGTGAAACGATAGAAACCAATTTCTAAACACGTCGAACGAGGTATATAACGAGATTTCGCGTATTTTAATATAAAGACGATTCGTAGTAATTGCATTTAGAGACGAACAACGTAACTGTTAGAGGAAAACAGATCGATAAGCACACACGCAACGATGTACTTCCAGGTTGCATTCCGAGGAACGAAGTTTAACGATACAGAGATATCGCGAGGGACGAGACCCTGTTAAATTACACAACGATATTACAAAACGTTGGTTCGATGTATTGGATGTATTTATGTATATGATGTAAAAGCTGTTATTGGCCGACAGATTAAAGCATGTCGATTAGGAGGACCAAGTGGTATCTGAAGTTTTGAGAACCTCGAACACTCCTTCACCTATAGACGCTCCAAGTATACGCGAAGATATCCGAGCACCGATAATTGTTCCATTTTTTCGTCATCGGGGCAGGATGCACCGATACCGAGTCGCGACTCGCGATTCGCGTACGACCTCGAGATTCTGTCGAAGCGTCGAGGTATCTCGCATCACGGCAAACACCGCTACCATACGCCCAGATGTTCAGGAATTCGGCAAAAGAAAGACCTCTTTGCGTAACGAAGTATCCTCGTCTAATTGGACGCCGGGCCCGTGCCAAGACGCTCGCGCATTCGATACACGACGGCCGCAGTCGTCGAGACAATGCGTATTGGCCTGAGAACAACGAGCGATATTTTCGTAGCTGAATTCGAGGCAGCACAGGAAACACCTGCCGAGTCTCTGAAAATTATCATCAGGGTCTCTCCGTGGCGAGCCAGGCTTGACACTTTGACTGCCACGTTGGTCATATATGACCACGGACACGGTTTACCCTGTGACACCGTGGTGGTCGTTGTAGTAAAACTACAATTGCAAAAATTGGACGAAAATTGACAGCTAGTTGACTGTCAATCGTTACCAAAGCACCAAAAAGGTGACTGTCAATGAGATAAACGCTCCATTGGGTAAGAATGTTGTCTTATGTCACCGATTTATTATTATTTTGCCATTATAAGCTTTGAACAATAATGGCGTCCTGAGGGAAACACGTGATTTCGACGTGACAGTCAAAGAGTTAACCCTTCGCTAGACGAGAACCCAAACTCCTGTCAATTCTGGATGAACGTATAATGGTTGCCTCGAAATATTTATAAGGACGCTTTGCTTCATCACGACTCTTGCTATGCAGAATCCAGCGGCCTCCGCGAAATTCCACGCACTTTCGCGATCGTTTGTTCCGCGTTTGACCGAATGGTATCGAACGGTATCGGCTGGTGGTGTCAACGGCCTCCGCGGATTAATTATTTGTTAATTACATACGCGAACCAGTTTATCGGGTCACGAATACGAGGCACCGGATGTGTCCGTCGTCCAACGTCGCAGCCTCGCGCCGCGGCGAAAAAAGAAACGAGCCCACCGTGTCGGAAACCGAGAGCAGATCGTTTTAAAAAAAGAAAGAAAAATCGTTGCGAAGACTCGACGTGGCTGTTACCTTGAGATAAGCCGCGGGTCAGGAGACCGCGTAATAAAGTACACTTGCGTGTGCGAGATATCGCCTCGATTAACAAGGCTAATTATCGTTGCACCGCGCAGGTCAGGATTAAAATTCGATAATTAATTGGCCGAGAAAACAAGTGTCGATACGAACGCCATTTCGAGTCGCGAGATGTCTCGCGAAAGTTTCCTCCGAGGGAAATTGAGAAATAATTGCGCGGCGGATAGCATGCGTCAAGGGGCGAGTTGGGGGGAAGAATACGTTCACTGGGCAAGTCTGTTAACTCCAATTTTTTGAAAAATATTAAATATCAAAAGCTATGAGTACACCGAGTGCTTTGACACTTAAATTTAAGATTTCTCAAAAAGTGGACATAATCGATTTGTGCAAAGAACGGCTCAATTAACGCTGACTTCCGAAAAATTGTTATCGCTGCTGCGAGACGTGGAATAGAAGCACAACCTTGAGAGCGACTCGTGCAACGCAACGATACGCAACAAGGAAACAAGAAAACACAAATAAAGTGGGCCGAGCCCCATTTTGGCGTGCGAAGATCGAGCACGGAATTCTCGAAAACCTCGACGAATTTATTCGCATGCCAGCTACGTGAATCAGACAGCGCGAATTGCGAGTTCCACTTTATTTGCGTAACGATATTTCCGGTCGCGTTTCGACCATGAACGGCCCCAAAGAATTTCCTTCGACCGCCCCTGCGTTGTACCTCGCACACCTCTGCAGTTTTGCCCGTCAGCCGTTCTCTATTCGCGTTTCCGAGTAGTCTGAATCATACGATCTATCCCGATACCGCCGTTACGTCTACCGATAAATTTCCCAAGTGACCAAAATCGCCGGAAGATCCGAGAAAATGACCCCAGACTCGATTATCGAGTGTCCAGGTGTAAAGGATGCAGGTTCTCATAGATATTCCAAGAAATTTCTATTAACTCGAACCCGTTTCGAGCCGGAAAACTACCAGACAATTAGCCAACAGCCTATCATTAAGTACTCGAGTAGCTAAATACTTGCTCCGATCACGAAGCTCTCTCGAAACGAGAGACTACGAGGATCCTAACGGAGGTTTCTATTAACTGAAACAGTTCGATGGGATTCGAAATCGATTGGACGAAAATAAGTGACGCTTGCCGTGAGAATCCAAGTTCAATGCTGAAACGAAAGCAAACAGCTCTTTACGTGGTCAGGAGCGAGGAGCCGGCCCTCTGGCTTGCTTACCCGTTCGCCAGCGCATCAACATCCGGCCCAGAACGGGGCTCGACTAAAAATACCGATCAATAACTATCGCCCGATAGGATGCACGCGAGAAAGAGAGGATATTCCGTGACTCCGAAATAAAGTCTAACAGCGAGGACCGTTCGACGACAGGCTGCCATAAATCAACGAGCGGCGGATCGACAAGGCTCTGGCATCCGTCGTCGGTTCACAACCGTGAGCGTCGCGACACGCTGTTAGTCGATGCTATTTCGACGTGAAAATAGTGGGGCGTCTCTCTATTTCGGTCGAACGAGCCAGGGCCGTTCAGTCTACGGCCTGGCTTCCTCACCAGGAGGCCGCGGGTCCGAATTTCCCATTTCCATCGTTGCGAGGCAAGGGAAAACCGCGCTCGAGACTAGCTGCAGCGAGAGAAACCCGCGTGGGTCAGGCTGCCCGCCGGTTCTCAGCGATCCTTGGGCCCCGTTTCAGTGAGCCACGCGATCCAAATGCTCGGATAGAAGGCAAGACAAAGCTATCGACTCTGGAACCAGTTCGAGCTCTCGACCGTGAACTTGCGAGACTTTGGAAAGGAAGGATTGCGAGCGAAGATGTTGTGGTCGGAGCCTGACGAGGAGGAAGAGGCGCTACTATGTAGCCCTGCTCTCATGGCCAGGAGGGCCTCGGAGTCGTGGATCGTCGCACCTCCCGTGGAGGTATGAACCGGTCAGAGAAAACCCAAATTCCAAAATCGCCTGTCTCAGCCACGAACCCTCGGGAGCGAAGTGAAACTTCACCTCTTTCCATCGCGTCCCCTAACCTCTGTCAAGATCAAGCGTGGAACGCGAGGTTGCTACCTGTTTTGAAAATATCAAGAAAATCTTGATCCACGCGAGTCCACGATCGTAATCGTCGAGGACGGTGATTTAATTTTCGATCTAAAATTCGAATCTTCGTGGAAATACGAAGTGACACGGTCTAGAGACCATCAGCTGTTCGAGATTCAGCTGGAATGGCGTAAATAGATAAGAAACGACTGTCCACGGAGATTGCTACGGTGCAAATCGTTCGATAAGCCGGGTTTGATAGCGTGGCAAGCGGGGGCTGGGGTGGTAGATGGGAAAGGGGAGCGTATCGGGAATGAAAGCCGGGCTCTTCTACTCAGATATTGTGCGACATTATCGGTGCAATTTACAGCACGCTCGAGAAATAGTCTCGAAACCTCGGAACAGAGTCCCGATGAACCGTGGCGGCAGATACGGCCGGGAAATAAGACGAATCGTGGCGATTGAGGCTAATTAACGGTATCGAAGAAAAATTATCGGCGAAGGGTGGCAGGGGCGCCAGTCTAATTTTACGCTTGCTGAAACGCGGAAAAGTTGCACGCGCGAGATACCGGGGCAACGATTATCGTAACACTGCGACCGATAAATCAACGTTCGGCCATTGATTCCGATTGGCAATTATATGCGGAGTATCCGCATTTCGAGCATCTACTTCCTCCTCGAAGTTTCTTTCTCTTAACACGTTGACGACCTGGTATTTCACTAATTAATTAATTTAATTATTTATTTATCTTAACGGGTAATAATCCTTTGGAAACAAGAAAAATAATATAGTACAGTACAGAGTTATCTAGAGTCGTTATTGGTCGATGAAAGATACAATATACTATGCTCAAAATGAGTGGGTGAACAGACAAAATTTAAGGACTGGGAGAAACGGAATCCTGTTGAAACAGTTGTAGTGGCCATAAAGGTACTTGTGCTGCTGCTGTTTCAAAAAATTACGGTATCTTAAAGACTCGTGGGATGAATCTAAATTAAACGTACATCAAATTTGGGAACAGTTAATGATGCCATTAAGTACCTTATACGCAAACATAAAGTCGTACATAAGTCATCTCCATGCTTTCACGTAGGACTGGGCATGTAGTGACATTACTGCTCTAAAAATGCTTTAGAATGGTTATATTCCAACAATTTTTAATACAATATGAAGTATTCCCCTATAATGTATCTAATATTTCTCTCTTGTGTGATATCGAGTGAAAAGTTGAATAACTATTACATAATAATATAAAACGCAGATAACGATTTAGCCATTTAATGCTATATGCTAGAAAGAACATTTTTCAACGCATACTAACGAACAGGATCACATACCGATAATTTTAAATGAAGAAAAACGCGATAAAGTACATAGATGTAGGATAATTGGAAATCTGCGTGACCGGTTGTCAACGTGCAGGCGACTCGGTCGTCAACGTGTTAATTATCCAGTTGCATCAGTCGCGTACGAGATGCGCAGAGGTTGCAGAGCTTAAAGGTTAACGTGGAACGCATCGTTGGAGAAGAAACGACACACAGTTCTACGATACGTGGTCGGATAATTTTTACCACTTTGTTATCGGCTCTGCACGAGCCGGGGAAAAATCGATGTCGAAGGTCAACGCATCGCGTTAACCGGGATTTGAATTCCTGGCCTTTGCATCGTTATTACGTACGATTACGAGCGAGGTTGCACGTTTTGGAACTGGTCCAAGGATTCCCTGTCTTTCTCCCTTCGCTGTCCCGTTTTCTCTGCTTCTTCAAAATGTGCAGCTAATGAACACGTAAACGTCCCCGGAGCTTGACGCCGCGCCAAGCGAATTCGAGCCATTTCTTAAAACCATATTCTAACCAACGAACCTTAACCTTAACCATTCTTGCAAATTCTTATCAATTAACCGCGGTCTTCTTATCTACCTTGCCTCGCGACGATAAATGGCGATCCCGAGTAGTCGTTAATCGCGATGATCCGCGATATTTCCGGCTGGATGAAGATCGATGATACTCGCGAATCGATGCTGACGGGAAATCGAAAATGGGTGGCGGAATTTCGCGAAGATATTGCCGAATTCCTGGCACGTGGCTGACTTTCGAGGCCGTTCACCGAAAGGGCCTTTTATCGGCCCGTGACGCGTTCACGATATACGTGCATCCATAGAAATAAGGCTTTATATGATCGATCGCGTCCAAGAGCCACCTCTCTCTCTTTGTTTCCCGTTTCTTTTCTTCGTGCAGGCGATGCCCGCGGCGGCAGTGTCCCTTCAACGAAAGAAATCACTGCCGGATGTGGCTCAACCTATTCAGTTGACGGCAACGGCACCGCTATCCAGGGAGGAAGTCAGTGTCCTGAGCAGCATGAGGAGAGAGGAGATCCGCAGGCAGATCGACGAGAGCGAAAGACTCAGGGCCAATCCTCTGCTGTACCTGGTCAGTCCACAGGTTAAAGTGAGTATACCGATCGGTTTTCAACCTCGGACTTTCAATTTCGCATCGAAATTTCGCGTTTTCGATAAACAACGCGTAATAGAGATAAAAGACAGTTTACAGGGGAAAAATAAAAGAACCAGGCCTTTGTCCGTTGCGGCGCAGAAAATTGCCATTCAATGCAAATATCGAGCGTGGTTCCGCATTACAATGTATAATTTCACGGCAGTCTAATTAGACACGTAAATGTATTTAAACGGAGTATCGTTCGATAATACTCTCCTAAGTGGTTCGCGTTATAAATTTAATATGAGTGTCAAAGCTTTAATTAAACCGCGGCTGTTCCGTCTTCCTCCTTCGCTCCAAATATACCCAGGTCTTCAAGGTTTCTCGGGGTCTCGTGAATGAGTCGGTCCATCGACCAAAGCGTCTCTATCGGGATTATCGACGACCGAGAAAATTTGTATCGGACGTGGCCAAATACGCGGGTACGGGGGACGAAGGACGACGATCGGGCGTAGATCGGCGATGGCGAGCTGCGTCGTGTGCGTGGTACGTTTGTAGAATTAAACGTGACACGTTGGGAGCCATGACCTTGGCTAAAAGCGGAAAGTGGGGAGAAAGCCTCATGTTCGAATCGACGACGCAAAAACCGCTTGTTTCTTATCGGCTGATTGCAAGAGTAGGACACTCGAGTACCGATACGAAATAATTCTGAATAATTAATCGAAGCGGTCGGTTCGCGTATCCGGTCTCCCATAGGGCAGCCTTTCAATCGCAAATGCGAACGATTTGTACGCGTCGCCTATGACCGTTGCACGCTTCGCGAAAACGCACGAGGAACTATCGATCCTCCTTTAATCTCGCCACGCATACGCTTTCCCGCTCACGGATTCTTGTTTACCCTCGTCTTATGCAACGAAACGAAAAGCGACGACGAAAGTGCTTCTGGTCGTTTAAGCCGAACGCGATCCATAAATCGGGCCCATTGACACCTCCTTGCTCGTAACCGGCGCGCGTGCGCTCGTTAATTACAAACATCGCGCGGTATTTATAATGCGTTTTAACGCGATACGAAGCCGAACTGCGTTTACTTGCACATCTGCATACCTCAGCTGTAAATCCCGCGATTCGCCTTTTTGCGTCGTACCGCGTTTGTATCGTGACATTATCGCGCATCGCGACTGCGGCTGTTATCGATCATCGGGGAAGCTTTGCTCGAAAAATCTGTTCGGAGTCCACTCGCTCGATCGGTTCGAGGCATTCCGAGCGGCTGCCCGAGTGTCCGCGTGAAACTTAATTAATTCCCCCGTGAAATTTGTACTACGATTTCTATGGCCGATAAGGCCCCGTAAAAGGACAAACGAGTAGTAAATAATACAGAGACTCGCGGTCGAAACAGGTTTCTGATTCGTACGAAAATTTCCAGGACTGGTTCTCTCGGCAGCAGCTGGTGATGCTGGTGGTGTTCATCAACATATCCTTAGGCCTGATGTTCTTCAAGCTGCTGACGTAGCAGCTAGCCGACGATTGGGTTCACGGGCTCGTGGTGGACGTGACCTGAGACCCGGGCGCGCCGCGACGCCCCGTGTCGTCACCGAATACCAGGATTAAAACGATAAACAGGGGGCCGCGATCGCGTGTCCCCGTGACAAAATCACGAAAAATAAAACCGCTGAAAACGGCTTTCGAGCGATCCAACTCGGTCCCACGGTGGTAAGGTTGGACAAAGGGAACGTTGGACCTCGAGGATTCGCGTGGGACAGGAACGAGGCGAGGCGAAGAAGGCGACTTGGACGCAGAGAAGAATTTTTGTTGTCGAATATCCGGGACCGACAGGAACGGACGAATTCGTCGTCGAGGTCGTTTGGGATCATTCGAGGATGATTCGTCGACGCGATTCGATTTGGCAGGACCTCCTCTGGCGAGGGTGCAAGACACGTCCGGTTTGTCAGGATGGGAGGGACGATGGAAGAGAGAAGAATATGGCTGGTTTTTTCTCGGACAGGGTACCGGCGTGGTACCCTGGCGCATGTATCGTATATATTTTTACACCGAATATTTTAATAATAATAATATTAATATTTGTAAGGGCGCGATCGCGTGCCGGGGATGACGGGACCGATCGCGCTCTAGAACACGGTGCGCACACACGAATCTCTCTACACTTTTCCTGTTCTTTCTCGACGGTCGACTCGAGCGCGGACACCGGGAACGACTTTTATACGCGAAGCTATAGAGCAAGCTAGATTTAGCGTGAAACATTTTTGCACGTGGAAACTTGTCCGAGCGGGGAACGCGGGGACGATCGAACATATTTTTCAAAACCCGTTTTAAACCCCCGATCGATCGCGGGGTGTGTCGTATATGACGTTTCAGACGTAGACTCGCCGTGGACAAGTCGGACCGAGGCACGTTTGACGATGGGTTAGAATTTCTACGCAATTGTTACGATTTCTACGAATTTCATAGACGAACCGGAGTCACGTCGTTGTACGGTTAACGTTACGACGTATCCATGTGTTATCGACGTGTCCATGTAATCGTATGGGTGTTATGTGGATTATCGGTATAAATGTAATTGTAATCGTGCAGAATCCTGTGGGATGATCGCTTCGTTCGCGAAGCCTTTGCGTGTAGCCTTTGCCTTCCACGTCGAACTGTACATAAGACACTTCTCCCCCCACCCTCACCGATTTTTATACACGCGTTAGGATCGAGGATCGTGCGTTGTTGCGTCGATCGTTGCGACGCGATCGGAGTGTATTTTTTTTTTTCTTATTTTCCTTCTCCCGATCCGAGAATCGTGCGAGGAAAAGAATGAAAACATCGACTTCGGATCGTGGCGGTGAAGGTCACGATAAAGCGTTGCGCTTATCTCTGTCGTTGCAGCGTAATTGTATCGTTTCGAAGGAAAAATAGGGAAGAATGGAATCGGTGATGAGAAAAGTCTCGAACGGCTATATGGAAAAACCTGTTTGACATTTGCGAGAAAGGGAAATTCTTGGAAAAATCGAATTTCCCTTGTTAGGGCGCGCACGATTCGAAAGCCAGCCTAGAGAAGAGCCTTTGTATTTGCACGGCGGATATTTCGTCGGTGTGGTCGTGCACAATTTTTGCAAATTAACGCAGTGTAGGTTTAAATCCATCGACGAGAAGGCGACGTCGTGTCGTTGTGACGTTCGCTGGATTAACGAAGTTTTTACAAGGAAAATTACTCGCATCAATTTTTCGGCCGTTTCCCTATGGAATCCTCTTCGATAAGCGGAAGAGAAGGCGAAACCGTAGAAGAAATTGTCTTTGCGCGACGTAGATCGCGCGCACGTCGATCATTTTTTCACGCGGTGGTACGGAGGTATACTTGGATCATCGCGATCGAGGATCGACCTCCCTGCGCTCGAGCGATCGCATTTTTCTAGCCTCAGGCATAGCTTGTACACCTAGACGAATTTGTAAATAAAAGAGAAGAGCGTTATATAGATCGCGACCGTCACGATTGATCGAAGGGCCGAAGATAATTGGCAGCCGCCATGATGACGCGTCGCGTTGCTACGAAGGTAGACGGCCGGCTAATAAACCGTTTCGAAGCTATTTTTCCAAAGAAGAAAAGACTCGCTATTTTCATCCTACGCTGATTAATATACACATATATATTTTCCTCTTTGTACCTACACGCTAGCACTTTCACGTGCCATCTCGAGTACTTACTTGGCAACTGTTAGGATGAAAATAGGCAAAACGCTCACGCGCGTGACGAATTTCTTGCGAATCGAAATGCGTACGATGCTCGAACCGCCTTGTCTTTGTCCCGGCGTCGTGCATCGAGCCATGATTTCGAGGATTAATTTTCATTTCTGCGCCCGAGTCGAGGTAAACGGGGGGTAATCGGATTGGCAACGGGGCCGGGGGGCGGAGAGGACGAAGACAAACGGTGACCGGGCATCTTAGGAACGAAATAATGAAATTTTTATGAACTATGAACGGTTCGAAAGTGTTTTTTGTTACGAAGATCGTTCGTATTTAAGTATAATTCAATGCTATTGTATCGCGACGGCCGGCTTGCTCGTTGTCGCGGAAACATGTACTGTATATATATATATTGCAACCACATACATATATATATATATACATATATGTGTATATATACATATATATATATATATATATGAAGGGATTAATTAGTACTGCGAGGGAGCAGCTCTGAAAATTTGATAAACCAGTCTGAGAGCGAGAGAGCGAGAGAGAGAGAGAGAGAGAGAGAGAGAGAGAGAGAGAGAGAGAGAGA